ATTAGTTGTATTTATGTAGTGTTGCTCTAAATATTAAAAAATTTGATTATGGTACGGAACCGAACGGAACCGAACCGACCCGAACCGAACCGAACGGAACCGAACCCGAACGGTTCCATAATTATATTTGGACCCGATGGGTCCATTTATTAAATACCCGAAAGTTTTGGGTCGGTTCGGGTTTCTTCAGAATCGAACCGAACCGACCCACAGACAGCCCCAGCTGTGGGGAAGATAAATACCCAAAAGTAACCCAATAGATACATTACTACCTAAGAACAATGCTTGATCTCCTATACTAGTCACTTCAATTAATCCATATGCATAATTACTCCCTTCTTCATGACATTCATCTGGCCTCAAAATAGGAAAGCCAGTTGTATAGTATCTAGCTTTCTTTTCCTTCCTCTTTGTTGCCACTGTCTTTGACATCCTCCACCTCATCAACATTATCATTACTATCAACGTCACCCTTGTCCTCGTCATTATCATCACGATCTTCCTCTTCCTCACCATCTTCTTCTGCATCATCATCATCAAATAAAAGACCCTTTCGGACAAGAGAAACAAGTAGAAGATGTCCTAATGATTCGGCTAGATACTTTTGATATAAATCATTGGTTTCAATTGGAGCAGGGGCAATAACTGTTGCTTTTGGGCCATTGGCATCATCAAAGCCACAAACAACTCCATGAACATCCGCAACATAAAATTTACCATTGTAGAAAATAATATCTTGATAAGCACAAGAATGGACAGAGATATTGGTCCAAACAATATTTCCTAATTTTGTAAAAGCCAATATAGCAACTTCTCCATAAATAGCAAATATAGTACAACCTCATTATAATCATGTAAACTTTTCTCCCTAAGAGGATTTGCGGACATTGCTATTTTATTAACAAAGAAATCCTAAACCTCTCGTGGCTTGAATTTCTCATCATATTCATACTGACCAGGGAAGGTCAGCATATAGGGGCTAGGCAAATTTGTTGTCTAGAGAAAGGGATCCCTAAATTGATTTGTAAATCAATGCTAATTGTCCACAACCATCCATAATGTGCTCCTGTGCACCTCCAGCCACTCGCTTCTGGCAACTGGAGTTGATATGTCTTTGAAGTTAATAAGTTTAGAAAGCGACGAATCGATGCATCTTGATTCTCTTGATCCTCGGTATCTATTTTTTCAACAAGCATGATCCAATGATATCTTGTAGGCAATGAATGTTTCTTCATTGATTTCTAGTCTTTACAAACAATAGTAAAGGAAGTAAAATACACTATTACAGTTAAAACTTTGTGCGATAACAACCAAAATGTCCATTTGAAGATTGGTCCAATTTGCTATGTTCAGCTATCAACTGCAAGCCATAAATTCAAGATGAAAATAATGAAATAAGTGTAATAGGAAAAAGATGATATTTTTAATCTGCCCCACAACTAAAATATATCCTTACGTTCCGTTATCAACTGCGCGACATAAGAAGATATTTCTCATTACAATAATTCAGAAATATAGTTTATTGTTTAGTTGGATTAGAATTCAAAATTATTGATAATTTAATTATGAAATACATCTAAGTAAAATGATTGAAAAGTACATTAGAATATTTAATTAAAGATTAACATCAAACTATAGATTAACATTATTTACATATCTGTACTTCCTTCCCAGCAATCTAGCATAAAAGATTCATAATGCAGTTCACTTGAGCAATCACAATCCTTTGCATAAACTCAAATTAAACAAGCAAATAAGTATTAATACTTGAGAAATTGAGAACAAAATACTACTGTAAGAATAAAAGAGTTGGCTGAAAATTCTTTACAATGTCAAGGTAATTTGTAGTTTACGGAAAATTGAAATACATGCTACTGTGACTATTTTCACCAAAATGTTTTATCCGTAAATTCACTTTTTTTTTATGGACGATGAATTCTT